TACTAGCGATGACCTCCAACCTACTGGCGATGGCCTCCAACCTACTATATACAGCAGCCTGCAAATTGTAAGTGACGGCAAAACTCGAAAAGAACCCATACTCAGCCAGTCGGCTTTCAAAAACTTGGGCCTGTTTATTTGGCTGGTGTTCATCAAAACCAAAGACAAGCATCTGAAGAAAACTCCTACAAGCTTGATCTCCCTTTGCCTTGCCAAAACTGTTCCTTTCGGGGTGGCGGCATCGGACGGTGCTCGTGACCACCCCGGTTGGTCTTCTTGTTTTGAGGACCTCAGCATCTGGTTCGTCTTACCCCCTCTCCAACAATCATGGTTTCGTGAACGTCCTGGCCCCTAGAAAGACAAACAATTGCTATTAGGTTGGAGGCCATTGCTTGGTAATGGAGGCCATTGCTGTTAGGTTGTAGGCCATTTCTCTTCTGCAAACGGGTGGCTGTTCACTTCACTTCCATGTGTGTTGCACGGTAACGATGTCCGCCCAACACCCCAACCCCAAGGTTCCGCCCTCGTGGTCGCCATGAACAAATCCACCACCACCAAGTCTCTTTCAGCAGATACAGTTCCACCTCTACACAGCTCACAAACATGAATCCCCTTCGTGGTCGGCTCTGGTTCACCGCGGTTCCGCGCGGCAGTCGACGAAAACGCAAAAGCCTTCCACTAGCGCCCTTCGGCACCTGAAGGAAGTTATACAGTCGGCACCATGAAGTGACTCAGGGGGACACTCCGAAGTTGGAGAGTGTGACCAAAGGGTTGGCTGCATCCAGCATCTGCACGGACGGTGGTGTGATCCAGTCCATCTGTTTACATGGTTTTACAATGGAAAAAGCCACAAGTCCTGCTGTTCCTCTTCCAGGCATCCATGGAATCCGGTCACTTTTTTTTGTGGCAGGGTCTGTCAACAACCATTCCAAAAGCCAGAATAGATCATGCTTTGAGAGGTTCCAGTTGATCTACTGGAGAATGACTATCAATCTCTACACTGCTTTCAGAGTAGATGGCACAAACACCAAGATGTCCTTTTTTCATGGGGTCCGACCGTACAAAACACTTTTGGGGGATGTGCCATCTACTCTGAAACCGCTAGTAGCTTCTTGTTCCTAGTAGCGATACCCTTTGCTCCTAGTAGCGTCCTTGCTCCGTTCGTAGTTTTCGGCCAGCTTCGCCCCGTTCGGTTCACGTCCGATCGCTCCGTTCGTAGCGATGCCAGGAGCCCCATAACCTTTGGTCGTCGATCGTCGACCTCCGTCTCGGCCAACGAACCAAACTGCAATGGCTATGACAGCCGACTGAGACGCCAGGAGCTGCGTAAAGGACCAAATCTACCAGCCTTTTGAAAGTTACCTCTATAGTTCCAGAAGTCACCTCTAGCATCCAGCCTTAATTCTTTTTTCAGAAGCAGGTGGTATTCTGGATAAGATCTCCTGTACCAAGTCGCAGCTGCCACAGAAGTGGAAGGAAAGAAGGAGCCCGCACCCCGAATCGGAAGATCGGTTCCCTTCAAGAACTGCAGGGTTGGTTGCAAGGTGTATTCAACAACTTCCCCATTGCTCCTCAATCCTCCAGAAACCATACATTCTCTTCGCTAGGGTGGAGGCCATCGCTAGAAGAAACCATACAGTCTCTTTGCATGGGGACCTGCCTGTGTCCGTTTCAGCTGGAGGGACCCTCAACCCGACCCGCTTGGAGGCCATCGCTTTTAGGTTGGAGGCCTTGGAGGCCCATCGCTAGTACGGTTCAATGGACCAGTCTGCCGTCAGCTTCCACCTGAGGCCGAGGCTGCCCATGAGAAGAATCAACCAAGCAATGCGACCACGACGTCCGTTCGTTCGGGAAAAAACACGTCAGGTGGGATCCTGTGTCAGTGCTTCTTAGCAACTGGATTACTGGATCAGTGCTTCACAGCCCGTTCACAGCTTGGAGCGTTTCAGTCGTAGCACCTGCACCACTGCAATGTGCAGCAAAGCGAAAAAGCAGCGAACGACTAAACCCGAAGAGACTCGCAGAGTGGCGTCCGTGCCATGACCGTGTTTCATCCTTTTTGTTCGGGTGGATCATACACAAGCTCCACACTGACCAACTCGTGAGATGTGCCACTGTTGCGAAGAATGGCAAGGTCAGGGCGAGAGAACCCTCATAAACGATTCCAGAAAGGCCCAACCTGACCTGCCCAGCCAACGAGTGGCCCAAGAATTCTCTGCCACAATGAGATGCATGCATAGATGCCCAACTAAGACTTTAAGATGTTTGGGGGCACCCCCAGGAATCCAGTTGTTCATGTCGAACCTGCATGACTAACACCTGCAGTTGACAACAGAGATCAACGGATCAACCATCTGTCCAAAAGAAGAAACTGCCCGACAGAAACGTAGGTCTGGATGTGGGTAATGTACAACATGGTTATAAATGTGGGAATTGCCCACTACTGGGAATGGTGATGGTCCGCCCGCCTTGCCCCTTACAAGCAAAAGGAACCGCCCACACCATAGATGTCCAATCCTCAATGTGGGAGTTGACACCACTCGGGTGGTTCTCGACGTTTGAGCCACCAACCGCAAAAGAGAACGGAGAATCCAAGATAGAACGCTGAAGAACAAGTGAGGAAAACACGAGGGAAGAAGACCGTCCATTGATTGGGGTTCCACACTATCGATTGCCTTTCTGGTAGAAGAAATGACGAGCACGTGGTTTCAATATGTTCCATTCGATAAGAAGTCCTCGACCCGGAAAAAAAGGAACACTAAACCGTAGTAAACCTCAAATTAGGCCACAACAGTTCTAAGAACAGGCCATCAAAAGTTCTTCAAGACGCTACCTCCCACAATTCTTTCTTTTCAGAGGCTGGACACCAAATTCAACTCTCCGAATTCAACTTGGGCTTTCTGACTTGGCCTCCTCTCCCCGCACCGACCTCCGGTCTACGGCTGACGGGAGAAGGAAGCGCCACCGGTCGCAGCAAAGCGAAAAAGCAGCGAACGACTAAACCCGAAGAGACTCGCAGAGTGGCGTCCGTGCCATGACCGTGTTTCATCCTTTTTGTTCGGGTGGATCATACACAAGCTCCACACTGACCAACTCGTGAGATGTGCCACTGTTGCGAAGAATGGCAAGGTCAGGGCGAGAGAACCCTCATAAACGATTCCAGAAAGGCCCAACCTGACCTGCCCAGCCAACGAGTGGCCCAAGAATTCTCTGCCACAATGAGATGCATGCATAGATGCCCAACTAAGACTTTAAGATGTTTGGGGGCACCCCCAGGAATCCAGTTGTTCATGTCGAACCTGCATGACTAAACCTGCAGTTGACAACAGAGATCAACGGATCAACCATCTGTCCAAAAGAAGAAACTGCTCGACAGAAACGTAGGTCTGGATGTGGGTAATGGACAACATGGTTATAAATGTGGGAATTGCCCCCTACTGGGAATGGTGATGGTCCGCCCGCCTTGCCCCTTACAAGCAAAAGGAACCGCCCACACCATAGATGTCCAATCCTCAATGTGGGGAGTTGACACCACTCGGGTGGTTCTCGACGTTTGAGCCACCAACCGCAAAAGAGAACGGAGAATCCAAGATAGAACGCTGAAGAACAAGTGAGGAAAACACGAGGGAAGAAGACCGTCCATTGATTGGGGTTCCACACTATCGATTGCCTTTCTGGTAGAAGAAATGACGAGCACGTGGTTTCAATATGTTCCATTCGATAAGAAGTCCTCGACCCGGAAAAAAAGGAACACTAAACCGTAGTAAACCTCAAATTAGGCCACAACAGTTCTAAGAACAGGCCATCAAAAGTTCTTCAAGACGCTACCTCCCACAATTCTTTCTTTTCAGAGGCTGGACACCAAATTCAACTCTCCGAATGCAACTTGGGCTTTCTGACTTGGCCTCCTCTCCCCGCACCGACCTCCGGTCTACGGCTGACGGGAGAAGGAAGGGCCATCGGTCGCTGCCCGGAGCGACGAGTTCAACGCGTTGGAGCAGGGCGGGGAATGGCGGGACATGCAGCCGGCAATGTGAACGTTGGGTATTCTTTTGGGATCTGTTTGCCAAAAAAGGAGGGAAAGCCCAAGCCCGGTGTATTTTACTGGTTTAGGGTTTAGGGTGGTCAGCCAGATACGAAAGCTCTCACCTTGATCTCCAGCTACTGTACCACTTCGGTGTGCATCGTAACATCAAAGAGTCTGTGTCAGTGTTGTCCCCACACAATTCCTTGGTCCTCAAGTAAGAAAATGCAAAATCGGGCAAGCACAAAGGGCTTGGTGATTTGATGTCATATTCGCTATTCTAGGTTGGAGGCCATGTTATGGCCTCTCACGGTGCTTTTTCTGGAAGCTCACCACGTAGCCTGGGCTGCGTCACCCTCTCCTTCCCCTCTCCAGCTGCTCCGCAACCGGTGATGTCCAGTAGGTCCGGCGGCCCGGAGGCCGGTCCGGTCCCCACAGTTCAAAGCCGCAAGATGCGAAAGAGTCCGAAGGTCCCCAGTGGAATGACTCCTGCGCAGGCTGCGAACGAGAGAGAAAGAGTGGAGTGGAGTGTTTGACTCTGGTGGGCCCTCTGGAATGCATATGGGTAGAAGAGGGAGCCATCCATCCACATAGGATCTGACCTTCCCACCCAGAGAATCGCTGGCCAGTTCTGTATGCTTGGCACCACCACAAAAAAAAAATGAACAAGAAAGCCTCAACTCAGGGGCCCTTGAGATGTTGGAGTGTTGTTCAAGGACGGGAGTTGTTCTTCCATTGCAAAAGAACAACATCCAAATTGACTTGTGGAGCATCATGCGACTTCCTTTTCTCCGAATCAAAGTCAGGGAGCTAGTCAGTAGAGAAGACACCGCGCTGTTCCCCAGTCTGCGTCCTATGGCAGTGAGCGGAAAGCCACAGAATTCGCAGAATCCTCGGTCCAGTCATCAGGGGCTTTCAAGACAGGATGAACATGGAGGATCCGGATTCCCCAAGGAAGCTCCAACCTAATAGCAATAACCTCCACCCTAGTATAGGGATGGCCTCCAACCCAAGAGCAATGGCCTCCACCCTAGTATAGGGATGGCCTCCAACCTAAGGGCGATGGCCTCAACACTGGTAGCGATGGCCTCCAACCTAAGAGCCATGGCCTCCACCATGGCCTCCAACCTAAGAGTGATGGACTCCACCGTCGTATAGCGATGGCCTCAGACCTAAGAGCGATGGCCTCCACCCTGGTAGCGATGGCCTCCACCATGGCCTCCAACCTAAGGGCGATGGCCTCCACCCTAGTAGGGATGGTTTCCAACCTAAGAGTGATGGCCTCCAACCTAATATTATGGAGGATCCGGATATTGGAAGGAATGGAAGGAATGGAAGAACCCAAGCACACACAAGCTCCCAAATGTTTCTCCAACGTCCAAGCGTAAAGAAGTGGGATATGATGAGACCCCCCGAAACCCGAGCGGATGTTTCAAGACTGCAAAGGAGCGCAAGGAATCGATTGCAACATAGCTTGCGGAGGTTGGATGCTCCAATTTGGTTGTTCAACAGATCTCTGACGTCAGTTCACCCACCTCACCCAATTGACCCAGTCCCATGGTGTGAACTCTGGAGCGAATCTACAAAAAAACCTACAGGTTCTACCTTAAACAGGTGCCTCAAGATCAGGCCCATACATTTGGGTGAGAAAACCATTGAGACACGAAGTCTGCGATCGGATTATTTCAAACTTTACTGCTTCTCGGTTCGGTTGAGGCATCTCATGTAAAGAGATCATATTTCAGGTGTTTTAATGTATGTGTTTTACTGCAGCTCTATGGTTCGTTTGATGAGGAATCATAAAGAACCTCTTTCTCTTTGTTGTCCAAGTCTAGACTAGACACAACTTCATCACGCTGACATTCACATGATCCTCTTTCGCCTGCATCGACTAGCCAATCTGGATTTGCAAATGGGGTCATATGTTCCTTCAATCTCCTGTCCCATGGAGCTGACAATGTCAGGTGTGTCCGGTGTGTTGGTTGCACCACCGGGGACATGATATGTTTCATCAAGAAGTTGCTTGGTCGTGACCAAACTCTTCCACCGACCCAAGCCCTAGACGTCTTTTTTCAAGTGAATGTGAAACGGCCCTGAAGATGCTTCAGCTGAACGGAGACTTCTCTGGAACTTCAGGGCACTCGACAGATCAGAAGCTTTCGACTGATCCACAAAACCCTCGCATTTCTCTGTCTCTTTGCAGCAGAAGCTCGTCCACTGTGCACCATTCTTCGCCTGCGAGCACAGAAACTATCTCCAGTGTATCTGACAGTTGGAACTCATATCCATCAGTGTGCTGCTGTATTCCACATGCACTCTTGGAAATCTTGTGTCTGCAAAGACCAAGTTCACTTGCAGCGCTTCTTAGGGAGTAATGCCACCTCCACCCATCACTTGTTCCACGAAGCCGGCTCCAAACAGGCTTTGCTGTAGTACCACGCCCGACGATTGATGATGCACGAAAATGGGCCAGATTCTCTGCTGCAGAGACCCACTCCAGATTGTCTGCGGCATTATTACCTTTGTTCAGATCTTTGTGGTTGACGTAACGTTGGTGATCCGAAGGCGGTGGCCCAAGAAAAGCAAAAGCCACAAGCCGATGAACAAGCGCCCGGTGGCAATGCGCATTGATGGTGAATCCCATTGTGTAATATCCCGCTGCTGTCCGGTGCCCTCTGCTTACCACTCCGCGCAATGATTTCACACGGCCAAGAGAACTCACCATCCTTTCTGGAACTGAAACACCTGACATGGGATCGACCATGTGTCGCCACTCTTCTCCAGTCAAAGCATGCTGACAAGAATCTTGATATCTAAACTCGTAACCTTTGGCCACGGAGTTTGTGTAGCTGCATCTTGACACTGTAGAGTGGTGCACGCCAAGCTGCTGAGCTGCCGCTGTAACTGATGAGCAAGTTGTCCATGCTGTGGTTCCAACAGGTCTCCACAACACAGGTTTCGACTGTGCAGGTCCGCTACTACGCCTGAAAGAGTTGGAGAACGAGTGGCGAACATTTTCGCTTTGCGAAACATACTCCAGGTTGTCCAAGCTGTTGTTCGCTCGGTCGCCATCCACGTGATGCACTTGCCAGGTTTCTTCGGATTTGGCAAGTCCATGAAAAGTGATCTTGACGACCCGATGAACTGGCCACTTCTGCCCAGAAATGCCCATGATTCTGTACCCACTAGGATGGAGATACCCGTACGAAATGGCTCCTTTCCTATTGCAAATGCGTCCCTGTGAGCTGACCTGCCAACACGCTTTGCTGAAGAAACGCAGGACAGTTGGCCAGACGGAACGCAAACGGATCCATGATAGGCATGGACGCGAGAACACCCCGCAGTTCATCCTGCGAAATAGCAGGCCAACCAGACTCTTGAGCTCAAAAGCTGTGGATTCCGCGCCTTCGCCACCATCCGTAAAGAAATCAACACAAGAGAACCGATCATCACATGTTGATCCCAACAGCTTCTCTTGCTGTGATCAAGAAACATATCCGAAGATGACATGGCAGAATGTCAGCAACCATGTTGCTGAAACTGTACGGGTGAACCTACCAACCACGGGTCAACATCACGAACACAACAACACCACATGGCCCCCTTTTCCTTTCACCAAGCTGGCAAACCGCAGTTCGTTTTTGCCCAGGCTCGGGTCATGAGCGGCCTTTGCCAAAGCCAACTCCACCAGCTTTGGCGAGATCGCGTTGACATGCTTCGCTCCTCCACCTCGGAGGGAGCTTCGAACTGCAGAATCGGATGAATCCGGTTTCCTAGAACTGCAGAATCAGCAGATACGACCACAGACCGCCATCACAAGAACCGCAGAGTTGGAGCGAACAATCGGTATTTTGGGGCAAGTTGTTTTCCTGATCATATCAACTCATGTTAGCCGATACCCTCTTCTTTATGCATTTCATAGAAAAGCTCATCCATTGGCGCACCATCAATGGCTTGGATGCTTCGATCAGTGAACATCTCCAATGCAACCGGAACGGTTCCAGAAAATCCCTACAGTGAGACGCATTCTCCCTCATACAGGTCCAAAGAATTTCAGAGCCAGGTTTCGCTTGGTCTTTGCAGCTGGAGGGTAATGGAAACACTCACCAGGCAGAAGAGGTTTCACAATCCAAATGGAAAATGCTGATAAATCAGGGTACATTACATTGGTCCTACCGTCCTACAGATCAGGTCTTCATGGTGCATCCCGGAACTGCGAGGGGTGAGGCCTGGAGTTGCAAGTTTATCAAATAATCCTTAGAGCCTTGCGCAATGAAGGGTCGAAAAGAGTTGATCCTTACATTGTATGGCTAAAAGACTTGCTGGTCATAGTTGAGATGACATGAGATGCCGCACACAGACTGCTGCGGTCATTCCCTTTTGGGAATTCGCTTATACTTCACAGCACGTGTGTTCCGAAGAAAAGAAAACCTGCGTGCATTTACAACCCTGGTACCAACCTCCCTGAAAAACCTTATACTCTCTCTATCCAGGGCATGTGTGTGTGTGTTGCGAAATGTGTGAATAACTCTGGAAATGTCTGGGATACGCTGTGGAAGAGACCCACATGGAACCTGAAAACCACTGGTTTGTGGTCCATGCCATCAGGTTTCAAGTGGGTCTCTTCCCGGGTGCACTTGCTTTTTGCAAACGTCACCCCTTGACACTTGGCGGAGGAGCGGACCGTCTGAGGTCTGCTCCTCAGTTATCCTAAGCACAATCTGTTCGCATTCCGTCACTCTTGTTCCAGTGTTCCAGTGCCAACACACACGTTTTTTCACTTTTTTGCGGTGGACCAACTGCCCTCCCACCGGCCAGGCAAGTGGCCTCGGGCCTTTCGTCTTGGACTAGCCTCGGCGTGAGATGCTCAACTGTGGGATCAAAACTGCAAAGAAAGTAAAGAAACAATTTGGACCTCAAGGATGCCAGGACCTCCAGGATGCCAGGACTTATGGAATGATGGTCCCGCTGAAACCCTCCTGCTTAGCGCAATGGATCTTCTCCTCTTGAAGGCTCTCCTCAGGTGTCTTGCTGTAGCTGTAAATACTTTTACGCTTCCTCCCCGTCTCTTCAATGCAGAAACTAGGCTGGTAGATCCATGCAAAGGTCAAGAATCATGTTCCATGCATGGTCCAAATTTCTTGAACAGCGGATCGTGCTTCCTTCTCGGAGTATCCCTGTTGGTGTGGATAACATTCCTATGACCAGGGCATTTCAGCAGTGGCACCAGCAAAATATACCTTTACTGTGACCAAATTTAGTGCTGCGTATCTTGAGATGTACCCAATCCATGAATTTCAAGACAAACTACGAAATCAAGTGAAGAACTTCCGAGAATCTGGTCTGGATACCCTGCGAAGATGGAACTCTTTAGACCGCAATGTAACCTGTAGAAACCCAGGACTTCAGGTCCCTTGATCGGTGGTGTCTTTGATTCGCAATGATGATGGGAGCATTCTCTGTGGGAGTTTTCTCTGGTGTCTCAGTGGGACAGTGGGACATATGGAGATGCTTCCAGAAAACATCTACCCATCGTGATCCATGTGCATCAATCGCAAGTCATGTTGACTTTTGCTTGGGTCGTTGGGAATCCCCAAGCCAAGGACTGGCACAAGAGACCAGGGAAAACCAAAGCCAAAGCACCCTCCCACAGGTCAAAGCTGGACCCCAAACGTTCCATTGAGTCCACATGCTTCATCCAACCAAAGGGAGACTCCCACTCAACCGGTTCGGCAGTCGGCCGTTCAGCGGTCCGGACCGCACTCCCCAACACCGAGGCGCTTCTTCAAGAGCGACTCTCGCCGGCCATCCTCAGTCCTCCAGGACGAACGCCTGAACTCCGTCTCGGTCAAGCGCCTGAGACCGGATGGATCGGATGGAGAATGGAGGATGGAGGTGAGCGAGCCAGGGCAGGGAGGTCGGATGTGGGAGTTGGGGGTGCAGTCAGGAGTAGATTGAGACCACTGGGTGGTAAGGGGGGTTGGAAAGAGTCTCGGAATGCAAAACCAGAACATATGTACAGTACCACGATATTCCTGGTGGTCACGTTGTATTTGGGAGCCTGTAGACTTAGCTTTGCACCTGCAAAGCCCGAGAGCTCAGGCAGCTGAGTTGGCTAAGCCAAGTAGGCCGTGCCTACCAAGCCATACAAATTTGATCCACTTTGGTCTGAAGGGGTTGACACTCGAGTTCTGTGGCAAACAAAAGTTTTCAGAATCATCTGACGACTTCTAAGTTTGACTGGTCTTCTGAACCATTGGTTCCCCACCACATTCAGATCACCCCTACAAATTCCAACTCAAAAGACCACCTTCCGCTTCCGAATCCTCCGCTTCTGCGTTTCGAAGCTGTGAAAATCAGTTCCTTCACGTTCCGTTCCGCTGAACCGTCTCGGGTCCCGTCTTCCCGTCCCCGTCGCCGCTCTTCCGGTTCTTCCCAGGAACTCGAAGGAGCTGAACTCGAGCTGCATCGGCGCACCCGTCGTGTCCTCAGGCGTGGAGATCGACCGGTGGAGTGAAACACGTTGTTGCTTCCAAATGAACAAAAGGACACAGGTTTGGCAGAAGAGGGGAAGAGTTGTGGGGAGAGGGGGCCATTTTTGGGCGCCTTTCAGTGGACGCCGTAAGTTCCGAACGGGTAGGGAATGTCACCGCTGGAGAATGGGCAGTGGGACATCCTTCCCCCCATGAACAGACAGGCGAAAAACCGAATCTCTGCAAGAACTCTTTAAGGCCATCAGACCCAAACGCACAAACCCTACCCATGCACACACAACTCACACTGCGTTCCAAGTGACGTAATACTCAATGCTCTGAAATTGATGATTCGACTGCCTCCAGTGGCGGCTGCATGGTGGGACGTTTGTGTGAAAAAAGGATGGAACCTATCTATTTGTCAAGAACTCTAGTGATATTTGATGATAGTTGTGTGATATGTGATATGTGATATATCTTCAGGACCCGCAAAAAGAAAGCGATTCAATTTACATGCAGTAATTAGTTGAGAAAGTCACTCTCAAGGCCTTTTCAAAATTAGGACCCACATGGATTTGACCCAAAACCGCTCAGTCCAGAAGCCCGACCCCCCTGGCTGAGGCTATGCCGACCAGTTCGGTGGCAAGTGACCTGGAAATGATGCAAACCGCTGGAGACCAGAAGTCGCCACTTCGATGACGACCGATGGGTGTGGGTCTTTTTGACCAGTCATGCCCTCACAATCCCTCACATCTACTCAAAAGCCTGAATTCCTGGACCACCTCAGAGATCAGTGCTAGTCCTTCCACCCCCATCTTTCCGCGAGTAAAACACTCAGCTTCTCTGAGACTTCCCATGCGAACACGTCCGGACTCCACCCCACCAGTTCTCTTTCTTTCGGCCTCATCTGCTCCCAGTAGTGAGCCACTTCAATGGTTCCATCACCTGAATGTCGTCCGAGTCCGCCTTTTTCCCCTCGTCGCCCCAAATGAAGCGAGCGTGTCTGCCCCAGGTGGATCGGTTGGTGTTTTTTCTCTCTTTTTTTTGGCGCGGTCTTGGGATCACTGGGAGTTTGACGCTGAAAAGCCGTCGTGGAGCTGGAAGGTGGTCGGAGTCACCAAAAGGGTGACCAATCCTGAGGGTCAGAAGCTGGAGTCCTGGAAAAAAACGCAGAACCCGAGTCCTTGGAGAAGAGAAGAAGTAGACAGTGGTGCTGGAACGTTTGTGATTTGTGGATATTTTGTGTATATGGGTCTTGGGCCCAAAACCTTGTCCTAGGCCGTCAACTTGCTTTACGGAGCTTGAACCGGCCAGAAAGCATCACTTAAACCAAAGAAAGCATCACGTTCCAGCTCCTGAAGGGCGCCTCATCCAACTGTTCAACTCTGAAATCGCCATCAAACAAAAGAAGATTGAAACGAACCAACCCCCCCGTCCTGCGCCCTCCGCCATGCTGCACCCGTCGAACCCAGCTGCATCCGTCGGGTCAAGGGTGCGTCAGTCAGCAGGTCCAGGGGTCTGGAGCCGAGCTTCGACTGGGCCGGTGGAACTTGGGGCTGTAGGCCTTTCCGGTGGCCACCGAGCGTAAGCGCCCACGCCTGGTCGGTCGCCGGAGCCGGAGGTTCGGAGGTTCGTAGGCTCCGGTGGGATGGACCACAAAAGCACCGGTCGAAGCTAGCAGAAAGGAGAATTCAGAAGTGATTGGGATAGTTTTAAGATGTTGCGGCTTGGATGATCCCTTGGCATTGGCACTAGAAGGTGTGGGAGGATCCCCCTATCACTAGAAGCTACTCTGGCCTGATTTGGAATCATTCATCGTGGAAGGTGTCCGCAGGTTGAACAGACTCATGCAAGAGTCTCCTCTCTCAAGTCCTTTGTAGTTGCATTCTAGAGTCCTTCTGCAGTTCTCATTCGCCACATCGATCTCGTGTATAGTCATAATCTGATGGAGAAATGTACTGTCCATGAACCAGAATTTTCAGCCTAAGTACCTCTTTGAGCACACAAAAAAACCGCCTTCCTGCCACCCTGATGGTCCGGTGAACCAATCATTCCTGCCACTTGGGACCAGTGTCACGAGTGTCTCAACCCGGACCCCAACACCGTGCAGCTCCAGCAACCTGGTGGCTCGATGTCGAACCGCATTTCAAACAGACGATGATGGCTGCCAGATCTGAAAGCCCGACCAGAAGACCGGAAGAGACCCGGTCGTAATGCAGGCACTTGATTACTAACCTCCGAAAAAGCCTCATCATAAGGAGCGGTTATTCAGTTGTTCATCAAGGGTCTACATTGATGGTGAGGTCTCCTGGATCTTCCACTTGCAACACATGTTAGAATCAGTGTTTCTTAGTATTTATATACATAGGCTCTGGTGGGCGTCTGATGGCGTTGCTTCTAAATTTGGTCCCTCCCACCAAAGACTTCCTGGTGTCTTGATCCACCGAGAAGGGCCTTTCAGCCTCTTGGCATGGTGTCCAAAGGCAGATCGCATGCATCTCATAGTCCTAAGTCAGAAGAGAACGTGGCACCTCTCATGCATAAGTAGATGATCCTCCAAAAGAGGTTCCTGGCAACCATCGCTGGATGAAGGGCAATGGACCAGATTGAGCTTGTTCTCTGGATCGAATTTGCGGAGGATGTTCACATCCTGATATGGATGAGGATCATTCACACATCCTGATATGGATTCCACCGGACCATGTTGGGGAAGCACCTGATCAAGAAATCGGAGCTGGGAGAACAAAGATCAAGCACTTACTTGATTTGTCGATTCCCCAACTTGGTCGTCTTCACCAGAAAAATCAGGTTTCTCCCAAAAAAGCACCGAACCAAGAAAAAACAAGATTTGGGGACAAACACCTGCAATTCATGAAAAAAATCACATCTTGCATCAAATTATTTTCCAAGAACAATGAATTCTGGACAGCCCCTTTGCGGGTGAAGGGAGTATATGGGAAGGCGGTACATTCTGATTTGCCCCCCTGTTCTGGAGCTGTAGTCAGAACTGGAGACCAGCCAAATCTGATGACAGGTGATCGTCCTTCCTTCAAGCGATCAGCTACAGCTTCCTGCTGCAGGTCACTACATACTGAGCTTGTTCAGCTTACAAGCAGATTCAAATCAGATTTTGTAGTGTCAACATGTGTCAACACTGGTCCTCACATTTACAGTTGTGTCGAGCAAAGGCAGCTATACATGACCAACCATCAAATATATAACACAAATAACTATGTTTGTGAACAAAAAAGTAAAAAAAATGCGAAGCAAAAGCAAATGAAAATGCAAAAGCAAGGCGATTTGCTTTGTTGTTGCGTTTGTTTTGCTTTTTTTGTTCCCGAATGCGTAGCGAAGGGTTCTCGTTTAACTCTTGGGGGTCTGGGGGTAGAGCCTTGTTCGCGACCCATTGCTTCTATGTTCGCAACAGTCCGCAACCGTTCGCAACCGTTCGCAACCGTTCGCAACCGTCCGCAACCGTCCGCAGTAGAGCGCTAAGGCGCTGCCATTGGGGGAAGCTTTTGCAAGTGACTATGCATGGATGTGTCACGTGTTAGTTTGCGACGCGAGTCCATTGTGATTTGCGTGAAAAGGACATGTCGTGCAAGAAGCGTGATGCATTTCGCTGCACAGGCGCAGCGTTTTGTGAGATCCGCAGTTTGCTACGCAGTTCCATTGGGATTAGCGTTTGGAGAGTCGTGTTTTTGGGGTGTTGGATGTGGCCGTGCCATTGGGATTTGCGTTTAAGGGTGTGGCATCGAAGCTCTGTTTTCGTGACAAGTCTCAGCTGAAATGCCGATTTTGGACTCTGGGAGTGTGCTCAGAACGGGTCGAAATCATTCCAAACGTGTGGTGTGGTGCAAGTTTTGTTGAAGCTCACATGAGATGACATTGTTACTTTTCGTGGCAGGCGCAGGACTTTGTGCGGGTTTTGAAGTGTGGAAGTGGGATTTTCGTGGCAGGCGCAGGGAATCGTGAGGTTGCGATGTGTGACGGAGGTGACATTTCGTGATAGGCGCAGTACTTTGTGCGCGTTAGACGTGTGGACGCGGAAAGATGCGTGGCCGGTGCAGGGAATCGGGAGGTTGTGAGTTGTGGTAGAGGTGAATGTCGCTGTCACATTGGGATTGGCGTTTGAGCGGGTGTCGTTTGGAGGGACTGGAATCGCGAAACTGCTTGGCAGGGTTGCATGATGTGTGTGCTCTGATGGGTGCTGCCGCTGGACTTTTGGAGGAAGTCTCGTACGAAATCCTCGCTTGGCAGACTTTGACATGTGAGTTTTGGAGGAAGTCTCGTACGAAACGCTCGTTTTTGAGACTTGACGCGTGACTTTTGGAGGAAGTCTCGTACGAAGAGTGTCCTACAAGAGTATCCCACAAGAGTTTCCTACAAGAGTGTCCCTTAAGAGTGTCCCACAAGAGTTTCCTACTAGAGTGTGCCACAAGAGTGTCCCACAAGAGTGTCCCACAAGAGTGTCCCGTAAGAGTGTCCCACAAGAGTTTCCTACAAGAGTGACCCACAAGAGTGTCCCACAAGAGTGTCCTACAAGAGTGTCATTTGGACATATGTAGCTTTTCGAACGTGTTTGCATTCGGGTTCGTGGGCTCCATCTTGTTTTTTGCTTTTTTTTCCTGGTACCACTTCTGCACGTATGAGAACTTTTACCCGTCCGCAATATTTGCTGTGCACTCCTAGGAAAAAGCGATTAAAAAAAAAACATAAACAAGCGAAAAAAGGCAAAACAAATGCGAAATGAAAAACTCGTTAAACTAAAGCCGAAAAATGTAAATAAGCGACAAACGCGAAAAAGCTACCTTTTTTTGCTTTTTTGGTTGCTTTATTGTTTTGGCTCGTTTTATCTCCAATTTATAGCCTCATGTGCGAGCCCCCCCAAATCACAACTTGGACACTTCAGCAGCTTCCGTTCGAACTAGTATGTGCTGCGATTTATCAAACGGCGAACATGGTGCAGAATTCAACCCGTCACCATGACCTCTTCACCTTGTTCAAACGTGGGAAAAAAAAACATAACAAACCAACAAACCATCCGCCCCATGACAATTGAAAAAGAAAGGAACAAACATCCGCCCTGTTGACCATTCCTTCGCTGGGCTGCAGCTGCTTGCAAAGCTTTGAACATCTCCATGACTCGTGCAGGCTTCAAGGCACAATCCGGCAGGGTGATATTCCTGGAAGACCCGCCGTTTGTCGGAGGGTGATTTGTCCATGTTCCGGGAACATGGGGGTATCTCCTATTACCAGCAGTGGATGATGGGGCCTGGTTGCAGGACATCTCTAGAATAGTGATGTTTTTGTTTAGGAAATGGGGCGGACCTAAAAGACGGTTTCTATCACTCTATGAGCTCATGAGCTCGTCGCCTAGCCTAGCTACTGGACGTTTGGCTTCGGAGAACCAGCGGTTGACTGACAAAGTGATCTTGCCCCTGTGCAGGACGGTGCAAGGTGGTGAATCTGCGTATTGTGCAAATCTGGTACAGTAGATTCATTAATTCCTCTATCACCACCTTTGGAAAGGCTCACCGTTCTACATAAATCACTATGTTCAGAACCCACTCAACCAGCATCAACAGTCTTGTACGGTAACAGTGACCTCCAGAGTGTCCCCCTTCCCAACACATGGTCCGAAAGTGATGTGTCTCCAAACTGATGGAGTCATGGAGCCGGAAAAAAGAACCACTTGCCTCCCAACATGTTCAGAGTCACCGGTCTTCGCATGTCTTTTGGGAGTCTTTTTGGGCTACCCCCGGTACCACACCCGAACCGCTCCAGACTATGGCTCGCCTGGTTCCTCTCCAGACTACGGAGCACTGACCCGGGCGTTGGAGTAGTGGCCTGCCAGTGTCCTTGTCTGCTATACCACCTCTGCACCCTTTTGTAGCGCTCAAAAGACCCTTCCAGACCCTCCTTTGCCCCCTTCGAAACCGAAGAAAAACTCGCATCTGCCATGGCCAATCGCTGTTGGATCTGAGCATCTGCCGCTGCTGGATCGCCTCATGCAGGATCCTCTTTTTGAGGCCTTGCGGATCAGATAGAGTGGACGGATCAGGCATGGCCAACTGCAGGTTGGAGGGGATCTCTAATTATATAATACAGCAAATGTTTCCAATATGTGTCCTGTTTAAGGCACTTCACTTGGTTTCTTGATTTTCTCGCAAACATGTGACGCAAATTGGCGTCCCCCACCAGACAGACGCAGGGCTTCGAGCTGTGGATTCTTCGTCCGGCTAAGAAGCTTTCAACGTCTTCGGTCGAAGCCAACTCGGCGCCTTCAACGACGCCTGTTGCTTTCAAGACCTCCCAGGCATCTTTGTGAAGCACATGGCTCTCCAAGCCGTGCTGAGTCACGTCCCGGAAGGCGGGGTGCCGATCCCGGATCCTGGGACGTGGCGGACCCGCGAAGATGGGATCGAAGTGGCGGCCGAAACCTTGTACCAACAAGAACTCTGTTTGCCCTCGGTCCCAGCCATCCATTCACACGAATGAGAGCCATCAGTCGATCAAAAATCCCAACTATATCTCCCAGCCAAGTGTTGAAGGAGCACCTCCCAGCCACCCCTCGCCCCCAAGAAACCCACATCCCTCCCTTCCTCCCGCCGGAACCAAGGCGCTCGTCGCCATCGACGCAGACAGAGCCCTCGCTCCCGAAGAGCTCCTCCGCCCGCCGGTGGGCGAGCGTGCTCTTGCCGGCCGCCGGTGGGCCAAAGGACCAAAGCACCTGCGCAGCTGGAGCGAGCCAGGCGCGAGGCCGCCAGGCGCGAGGCCGCCAGGCGCGTTAGCGGTACGTTTGCATACAAAGGTGGTGCTGGTGGTGCTGGGGGGGGAATGAAGGGAGACGAAGCAAGACAAGTGCCTTGAGATGAAGGAGCAAAGTATGATCCGGCAGTCATGGGTGGCATGGACGTATGGATACGCTGTCATGGGTGGCCAGGGGTGAATTGCCCCACAGGAGTGGTTTCGTTGTTGTAGGATCTGTCCTTTGTGGCAAGTGGTAAGTCCACCAGTGCCGGCTTGGTTGGACCGCGAATTCGCTAAGATTAAGATGTTCTGCCAGGCTAAAATAGTGACCAGAACACAATATGTTGCCATAACAATCTAACAATCCATCAGGCAACACCACAAGATTTGGAAACCACGTGCCATGACATCCTGCCAACACGTTGACCTCTTTGCCCTCTTGAGAACCTGATCCGAAGGACCAGCGGACCGATTCCATCGATATACCATCGATCAACGCACCTTGGGTCTTTGCCCCGGCGGTACTGGCTGGGCCGTCTGCAACCCCACCTGTGCGTTGCGGCCACGAGCTGGGCGGTTGGAGGGTGACTGAGGGGTGGACGGCACCACATGTTGGGCCATGGAAAAGAGCAGAGTCGATTCTTGCACACAGATTCCCATGAGGACACTCTGCGGTTGAAAGAGGATGGATCAAAAGGAATTATATAGGTGCAAGACTACATATCTTGGGCTCCTTGCAGCATCCACATCCTCACCCCCAGGAGTGTGTAAGTCTCTTTCTTCAGATCGCTGAAGCAAACTGCACGGGGCCCAGGTCCCCAGTCACTCTTCGCCTCTCGAAAAATGTGCTTCACGTCCTCCTCCGAGAGGGGCTCGCTCCTCGGAACAACCGATCTCCGATCGACAGAGGCCGGGCGCCCGTTTCACCCGCTGAAGAAGCTGGCACAGCAGTTCCGGTGCTTCGACTTCGAAGCAAATCTCTCCAAGAGATCCGGTTTCTTCGGGTGCTTGCTTCACTGGTAGTGGAGTGGATCCGAGGATACACCGCCCGAAGACATTTCGATGGAAGGTCTCCCTAGTCTTATCTTTTTACGACAAAGCCATCTTGGAAGCCCTGGAACGTGGTGCAGATTGGATAAAATGGGCTCACACACGAATGTTGGATCTTAAACTATTCAGGGTGTGGGAATAAATAAACTGCAATCACTTTGTATTTCCCTCCCATTATACTAATTAGGATAGGATCCGACACCAATGGTAAGATTTTAAAGAATTAATATATATATATATATATTCGTCCATGGCCTGTTCAGTCAAGCCAAGCCTCTCCGCAGTCAGCACCACCCTTTTTACGTCAAAAATAACTACACACGTTTGAAAGCACCGAGGAGCTCCTGCTCCCGTCACCACATCTCAGGCAGATCCACTCCTGGAAAACCATCTCTTGCAACCTGAAATAAGGAGACCGTGTAGCTCAAATAAGGAGACTTCCCCAAAACGACACTCTGGAAGGTGTCGGGAACTAGACCAGTCTATCCGTTGGTTGGAGGTTGTAGACCTCCCTATCAAAATACACACCCAGAGTAACTCAGCTGTATAGGTTTTTATGGTTGAACATTCACCAGACCAGTTGATGTAGCGCAAAATATGCTACTGGCCCTTGTGTCCGTCTCCAACAACACGACCCGTATTTTGAGCAAACCTCATGCACGAACCTGTCTCGTTTGCGTCTCATTTGCCAAGGATTTTACACTACAAAACCAGATCTACCATTTTACAAATATGGTCGAACGGACTTCCAGGGTTAAGCTCTGGCCAGTACTGAAATTCCACCCTACAACTGCGGGCTTGGGGATCTGAGTCTCAGAGATACCAGCTCAATCGCCCTTAGTCGCCCAGCGTGCCGCGGAACGACGCGTGCCGCGCGGCTGGAGTCCAAGGCACAGCGCAGCCTTCAGGTTGCCTGGGATCTTTCCCTTCACTACCTTCCGGCAGGATGTACTCAGTACACTAGTGTAGCCAGGGATGTGTTCGGCCAAAGATGGTGTCTGCTGCAATGAAGAACGCGTTCTCAGAAATTGACACAAAGTCGCAGCACCTTGGGCTGCACCACTGTTCAACAAACTTGGGCAAAAAAGACTTTGCACAAGGAGACCCAACCTGGTCATCTACAGAGAAGTGTCTTGTTTGTCCAGCGCTGTGAAAATTGCTGGCCCTCAGCATCTGCCAGAATCACGTCCCAAAGAATGAGTTGAGTTTCCTCCAAAGCAGAATCACTCCCTAGAGTTTTGGGAGAGTACGTCTTTAAAGCAGAAATGCGGGCGTGCATGCTTGAAGAATCCTGTAGATGTCAAATTCACATGTTCTGGCAACTAGACCACAGAGCGCTGGCGATGTCTCTGTGGAAGCAAGCTTGTGCTGTTCCGGCGAAACGATGCAGATGCATCGAGACGACTATCCGGGCTTGCTCGTTGTGAAAAACATTCAGAAAAGGCCAACTTGGGGGATAGTCTCCCACTCTCTCTCTCTCTCTCTCTATCTCTCTCTCTCTCTCTCTCTCTTTCTCATATAATATATTATACTATATTGCCATATATATTGGATTGGATTTGAATGTATACAGTATATAAAATATATACATCTTGCAGCCTCTTGATTCTATTTCAACCAGGAATTCAACATTCTGTCTAAGAGATCTGGACATGTCTAAAAGCACTCGGCCCCTGAGGTGTCCGATCTCTCGCCTGGTAGATCTGCACATCGCCCCGGCAGGGCACCACGATCCGTTCGGCCTCGGAGGGAAAACCACCCCCATTTTGGTGGACCCATGGGGTGAGGCATTTGATGAGGCATCCGATTCCGTGAAAGACATCTGGAAGACTGAGATGACCGAGTTGGAGTCCTGTACCAGAAGAAAACATCGATGTTAATGTTCACCATCGCTTCTCCCTTCTCCATCAAACACGCTGGGGTCTTTTCCACGGCCTTCACCGAGGATCGGAGGAAAGCGGCTTCACCCCCCTTCTCGGAGTCCGTTCGAGCCTTTTGCAAGAGGGGAACGATCCGGTTTTGTCAAAAAATAGAATGCTGGGCCACGACTTCGGAGTTTTGGTACTAAGCATTTGCTGCTCACCCGTGGTGAGCAGAGGTCGAGAAGGAATGGAAGAACGCGAGTCTTGCCTTGCGTCTCGCATGGGTGGCTATCTCCAAGCGTGATAAGGCAATACAGAAGCACCGAAATTGAGAGCCATAACATGTTGCTTGAACCCAACCCAATGATTGAAAAGTAGTTGGTCGTCAAGAGTGTGTACGCTGATTGATCTTAGACCAATCAACGTATCTTAAGAAAGGTGTTGGATAGACCCCAACGTATCGGGCCGAGCGACCCGCCCGCCCGCTCCGAGCTGTTCGGTTGATCCACCAAACCTGTTCCGAATCCCCCTCCGAGCTGTTCATTCATCTCGCCACCGGCCAAGTAGCAGTGCATGTAGACATGATGTCATGACACATCTTGCTGACCCCAAAATAAATACTACAAAAAGACACCTGAAACGGCCGCGGGATGTCATGCATCCGACCATGCAAGAAGAACATCGTCAGTCTATGAGAGCTAAGAGAGCAAAGGTATGATTGTCTAAAGGGATTGCTCTTAGAGACTAACTTCTTCTCTTCCTTGAGATACGCTCGAAGTACTACAGAAACGTTGTCTGACCCTATGTCTGACCCTATGTCCACTCGTCATCCGCAGATTCCGCAGCGAAAGATGTCTCTTTCAGATGCCCAGTGTTCGGATCGCTCTCGGCAGAAACATGGATCACAGATCTTGGCCCTTCTTGGCCGACGGCCCTTCTCGGCCCCTGAGATCGGGATGCCAAGTCTCATGATGAGAATGTGGTTGATGCAAATTCCCATCATTTCTCCCACCGAGAACTGGTGACACATGCTACACCCATTTTCTGGTGACATCTTGCTTCTTTCTGAACACATCCTAGCGATTCTCGGCCGTCGCAAAGGAAACCGGTCGGGTGCAAAGCTTTGACAAACAAAAACACATCCTGCCATCTTTCGCTTGAGGATATCTCCACCTGTCGATGGCATTGGCACCAAACAAGGTGAACTCTTTTGGCTAGTGCTCTGAACTCACTGTAGAAAAGTTCAGAGAGATCTCTCCTTGTGCACAGTGAGGGACGATTCCTCTGTAGACCAGAAACAGGCGCCCACGCTTTGTTTTGCTGCTCTTTCTTGCACGGCGTCTCTTGCGACGAGCAGCTTGCCCCCCAAGCTCAGAGTCTTGCAACATGCAAAGGCCCCCTAAGCTCACCATGCCTGTGAGCAAAAGAAGGATCAAGATCTTTCCACCCACAAGGAGTGTGTGGGCATGAACTCTTGCCAGGAAAAACAAAAAAAAGGCAGAGTCATGCAGGCACCATAAACGCACCACTTCTGAGGGGCTTCCACATGCAAGAGGGGCTTCTGAGGGGCTTCTGGGATTCCACATGGGGAGCACTTCGACGCATGCTTGATAAAGATCGCAAAAACGAACGAGTTGAGACCCTTGGGATGTCCGCTTCAGGTGCCTCAGGTACCTCAATGAGAGCTCGCTCCCTGCTGGACTGGTGGGTGTCGTCCATTTCCGGAGGGCGAAAACTGGGGGGGCAGATCCGACCGAGAGCTAGAAATTGATTGGATATGTGTTTGTTTGCTTTCTCAATTGCACTGGAACGTGAATCACGGGACTATCATGAGAATGCATCTATTTGGAAGCTGTGAAGCTTTGGGGAAAAAAATACAGATTTACAGAGTCTCGCTCTTGTAAGAGCATCACTCACTTGCACCAGAATCCAATCCTACATGGCGGACTTTGGCCACCACCCGCCAGTCAACTCGAAACAATGATGTCAAAACCTCCCGAACCCCTCGAACCCATCGAGCGTGTCAAACCCGTCGAGGTGCAGGTTGATCTGTGCAAAAGCCCGAGCGGGCGCAGCGCAGGCAATTCGTGAATCCTCAGCACTGGGAAGGGGTTTCTGGCAGTTCATCCAAATCGAAGATCCGAACGGACCCCAAACATGCCTGGAGAACGACCGGAAACTCATCAGATGTGTGCATGTTGTTTCCACGTGTCAGGGTTGCTGAAATAGTTTCAATCAACACACCAAATGAGGCTTCGCCCTTGTCCACCTTGGCTCGGCTTCCAAGCTGACCCCTAGTATGAAGCACCGAAGACCAGAAAAGCTAGCAGTGTTCAAACAAGCCAAGAAATAATTCCTCATGCCGATCATAAAAAGACTCATCTTTTACCTAAAAAAACGCACGCCTCTGAACCATATTTGTGGATCCTTCTATTCCTCAAAAAAGGAGCTTCGCAGCCAAGGCACCCCGGCAATCGCTGTCCTCTTGGCATGGTGGTCCATGCTTGTTCGGCACCTTGAATCCAACAGAGTCGAGCTTTTGTCCAGAAAAAAGATCGAAAGATTGTTGAGCAGTGATCTTGAAGCACTTCTTAAAGCTGTATGAGCTAAATTGATACAGTACAATTACTCAGTATACAACCATGTACCACCTACTGTATCTATCGATCCAGCTTGCGTTTCTACCCTCAAAATCCCCAGACTCCTAAATTGGAGGGTCTCTCCGACGGCTCATCTGCCACAGTACGCAGCGCCCGCTCGGTGTCGGTGGTGGCGACGGTGGCGACGGCGGCGCAGGTGGCGCAGGCGCCGCGCCGCCGCACACGCGCGAGAAGGCGTCGACGTCGGCCAACTTCCAACGGCCGTCCGAGCCGGCACAGGCTGAGAGCTCGATCTGGTCCTCAGATGGGCGAATCAAGTGATGGTGATGGTGATGTGGCCGGATTTGCGGATTTGATGGTGATGGGGACTGAAAGTAGCAGTCACTTGACTTGCATTCACTCACCAGGACTGCAAGGTCCTTCCAATTGTTTCAGGAGACCAACAAAGATGCTGCTATTGGATCAGACCTATACTGGAAGCTTTAGGAATATGGTTCTCGTGTGCAAAACTTTGGGTGCGTGATCCTCCTTTTTGGAGGGTCAATCAAACATCCTTACTTGTGTCTAGCTGAGAGGAAGAGCAAGAAACCAATAGAAATAAACAGCTGGGAGTCACGTGCCAAACAAGCATGCAAAGAAAAAACAGGAATAAGGTCCATTGTGATGCTCAGCAACCCTGGCCAACTGTTTCTTAAGACACTCTTCCAAACAACCAACTATATAAATCAAAACCTATGCGAGACGGTTGCAGCTCCTGAGAGCGCGTTGCAGCTCTTAGGAGCTTTTGGTGCATCCTCTGGGCAAAACCGACAACAAATCCCATGTGAGCACAGCAACACGACTGGCAAAGCTGAGCACTCTGAGCTTGAAAAAGGCGAAGCCACGATAGTAAAGCACCCCAGAAAACGAAACAAACCGGGGTCTTCATCTCCCTTTGCTATGATTGCTGTCCACCTTGGATTTTTCTCAAGTACCCTTGCTTTCTAGCTAGCAGGACATGTCACACCCCAAACGACCCAATTTCTTGTCGCTTCAAGCTTCGTGTGTGCCCATGGAGTGGACACAAATCCCCAAGCGCTGCAACTGATCCGCGGCATCTGTGACGGAGCCACCCGCTGCTCGAATGCCGTCCATGATGCGTAAAGGCTTGGAGGACAAGGCGCAAATCCTTGGGGCGACCACAAAGGCTTGGACGCTGCCCATGGCCGGTGGCGTGTGTTTTGACCAGCTTGGAAGAACCGAACTTGGGGACCTCCGATCCGAAGGGAGACGAGGGGAAGAGTGTTTTGGTGGAAAGCCAGGCGGAAACCTTTGAGCAAGCTCCCACTGCGATCGTGTTCTTGGTGCCTTTTGCGTGTGATTTTACTCGAAGCCCTTGACGATGGTGTGATGATTTTGCTCGAGGCCACTGGGCCAACAATCAAGCAAATACAATTCAAGCCAATCAAAACAATCGAAAACTCGACAATCAATGAAATAAAGCCGATCTCGCTTCAAAAACGAAGGGAAGAAGCAGCCAGGTTCCTGCATCCCCCAGACGGTGGAAATGTGCGCCATTAAAAAAAGAAGGGCGGGCTTTTCTGTCTTTCTACTGTCTTCTACCTAGAAGCATGCCCTTCCCAGTGTCACATGGTATTGCAGGTGTTTTATCCAAACAGCCCCCACAAATATATGTGCATTGTGTGTTTTTCACATGCTAACCTAAACACTCTCCTTCCAACCACGTTTCGCATACCGTGTTGCTTGTGTTTCACAAAGGTTGTGTTTGATATGCGTTTCAATGCATTTCCAAATCCTCTACGGTTGCGCTTAAGCCCGATATATACATATATATTCTTAATATATATTCACACACTTTTCCCAACACTGAATATATTTCCCAACACTGATCCAACCCTACAGGAGCCTTTTCAACAAATAGATGCAAAAAAAAGTTCCCCCAGAAAGCCAGTCACCTTTCCAGCCATCCGCGGACCTCGCAGCCAAAATTCTGACTGAAGTAGTCAGCTGCGTCAGTCGCCCCGGAGCACATGCCGTGTTTCTCCCACTCGTGTTCCTCCCACTCGTGGGCGCGGCCCCGGCAGCCGGCCAAACGCAGGAGGAAACACTTAGAGTGATCCCCAAATAGATAGAAATTAGAAATGGTTTCCAATATACACATGGAAAAAGTAGGGATCTACTGTTCTATCTAATCCAACCACTACTGGGCTGCGACTTGGTGAACTTGAGTTAAAGCATTTCAGCTATGTCAGCACGTCTGAGGCAGAAGCCTCCAAACACAAACAGTTTCACAGTTTCACCATTGCCCCATCGGCACCCACATCTTATCTCGTCCCCTGACATGACCCGCCTCAAACCATTGCTGATGGCTGGCGGTCTGTGATCCTGTCGGCTGGTAACACGAAACCAGCGTGGTTGGATCCCTTGTGCTTTTGGTTGGCGCCACACAACCAGAGTTGCCATAGGGAGGCACCTGTCGGCGACGACACCGGGGAACTGATGATCGGAAGTCTGACTATTGGTGAGTCAGCGTGTGCTTCTAAGGTGGTTTATGTGAAAGTTGTTACTTGTCAAATCGCCAAATCGTTTACTGCGAACGATTTGGGGGGGAAAGGCGTGGGTGCATGGGACCCACGAGAACGGTCACGAGAATGGTGATGGGGAGATGGTATGGGGAATGGGGGCCCTGGGGAGATGGGACTGTTCAAAGAATCGTGCGGTCCCCTTAACTGGTCCCCTCGCTGCAACCAGTATAAGCTTGGAGCAGAACAACAACGTGCCGAACATAACATCGGTCGCCATACCGGTCGATGGCCATATAAAGAGTTGCTCGCTGGGCCCAGGCGGTCTCACCGTGTGGCTTGGATAGCTTTGGGCCACACAAAAAACCATCAAAAAGGAATCTGTGGTGTTTGGTCCCTGTCCATAGCCAGGTTGGGAGTGGCATAGCGAGGTTGATGGCGGCCCACTTTCATCCTTCCTGAGTCTGGTTGACCAAAACCTTTTCATAGGAGATTCTTTCACGAGACCATAGAATGTATCTGAGAGTTAGGACTCAGGAGCCATGGTGTCCTCCAACGGAGACTCGTTTCGATCTGAATTAGAAGATGGTAAGTCGCCTCCTCGCATTCTCTGTAACCAGCCATCAAAACAGAACTTGTGGGGAAAATCGGTCCCGACTGACCATCCACTGCGAGTCTGTGCCTTCACATGGCTTTTCTTCTGTTCCACCGATCTCATTCTCAGTCACCTGGACAGCAACTGATTTTTCGGACACCCAACGTCTGGTGCGCTTCGGCTTCCCCCTGCGGCGGTCTCGGCTTCCGCCGCTGCCTGTGGCCAGAGCCCATGCACCTTGGGAGTTGGAGTGCTGTAGGCGCCTCCTCCTGGAGCCAAAAACGGGCGTGGGCACCCCAAAAGAGGCTTGACTCCTCCAGGGAGTCATTGGGTTGACTCCCGCAAAAATGTGATGGAACCATTGAGCGGCATTTGGGCATTTTGAGCAGCATTGGTTTAAAGGATACCACAATACCACCCCAGTGACATACAGTGACATGGGGTAAGTGGGAACCCATTGTGGTCCAACCCCTGCAACCCACGCGGTGGTGGCGGCCCGTGGCGGCGGCGCACGGAATTGCGCTGGGTGTCCCATTGTGTCAAAACACAAAGGCACGGCGGACAGGTGTTCTGTCACTCAAATCAATCAACGCAGAAAAGCATCATTCTCGGCCATGCACTGCACTTATCAAACTCAAATCAACGCAAAAAGAAAGAAACGATGAAGACTGGTAGACAAATGACAAACATCTTCCCCGCCAATCTGCTTTCTCGGGGGTGCCGACCTGCCCGAAAATGTCACATTGACCTGCCAATCAGAATCCAAAAAAAGAGGTACTGCCATGGGGAAAAGAAGACTTGAAACAAAAAAGGTCCCGGTACCTGCCTAATTAAGGTACCTGCCATGACCTTCTTCTTGCCACGAAGAGAGGCCGGTCGCGGCCTGCCCGACCTGGGTCTACCGGACCACGCCCGTCCTGTGCCCATCTGCAGGGCTAAGACCCCGCACATCGGTGCACCGTCGCAGTCCATTTGGCCATGATGGGGATAGGCACTGCCTGAGATTTGAGACCCAACCGAAAGATGGATTTCCGAAAACCAACCCCCAAATCCACCCCAGATGTCTTGAAAACACACTGACAGACTCATAGCTCCAACATCCGAAAAGGATGGGAGTGTATGATGTGAACTCATGCGGAAACCATTCCTTGCTCGAGAGAGGTGCCTGGCTTGGCTCAGAATGTCGTGGTACATGTTCCCCATAACGAAAAAAGAGCTCATGGGTTTCTTGGAGTGGAGCAGCAGAGCCAACAAGGATTGGGGGCGTCTTTCGTCCAAAACTACCTCTGCAATACCAACCTGGAACCCAAAAAGGACCAAAATAGGAATGGTTCTAGACTCGAGGTCCCACGCAGACCACGGAAAAATGAACAGAATTCCCTGCAGGGTCAACCTCCCCTAGGGTTTGGAGCTCGTTTTCAGCCACAGCCGTTTGGATGAACGACTATTTGAGTCGAAACGACGCTACTTACTTCTTGGTGAATTGGACAACTACTTGGCTCGAGCATTTTCGTTTTCGCATCTCTAAACATCCACTGCTACACGTCCACACACGCAAGGTCCACGAATCCCTTTTCTCAAACATCGTTTTTGAGAAAAAGAAGCTGTGGTTCCCAAGGATCGCGAGATTAGAAACAACCTCATCGAAACGGAAAATGGTTCTTTTTGGACCAATTTCAGCTGGTTATTTGAGAATGCAGGAAGTGCTTTTGCTGGTGCTGTCATACGATTGGATTCCCGTACACTCCAAGAAGCGAGGACATGCTTCGGAGTGGAGGGTCCTGTCTAATTGTGTTTCCTTCGCTCTAGAAGTAGATCTCAACAGTTAAGGCCAACTATTTAAGTATAGGCGTGTTATTCATGGACTCCGCTGAATGAAGACCATCTTCATATTGCAAAGATGTGCATCAATTTTGATCTCTCCTTATGCAATCTGCAGTAGACACCAATTCCCGCAAAAGATACCCTCCTCACCCAGAATGCTGAGATTTGCCAGGCTGCATCGGCTGGTAGCATTTGACCTCACCTGCACCAGTCTCAGGGAATCAGAGTCCTCCTCCAGGCTAGCAAGACTGGCAAGTCTCCCGAAGCTTGTGAGGATGCTAGAGGCCCAGGTGATGGCCAGCAACACGGACATGGAGCTGCTGAGCGTCTCGCGCACGAGGTGCGAGGATCGTCCCCGCGAGGGCACCGTGCCGGGTTTCGGCGCACGAATCAACACGATGTGATGGAGAAAAAAGGGAAAAAAAACTTCAGGTGAAGCGGTGAAGCCTTTTTTGGGGACATGAACACAATGGCAGGTGTGTTGTTGTGAGGTTTTGAGCAGTGAAACGACAATGTCTTTGCAAGGTAGAACAGCACATCACGTAACGCGAGTTGGAAGCTGGTCCACTCAGATCACAGGGCAGTTGGAATGATATGTACATGAACCTCCGAGCCGAAGAAAAGACATTGCGGTTCAGGGGCCTTAAGATTGTGAGATCTTCCCAACGTGCTTGAGGAACCAAACGCATGAGGGACCGGCAGCAGGTAGTCCCCTTTTGAGTGCAGAAAACAGCTAGCCACAAAACCCTGATTCACAATCATACATGACCTTCCTTCCTCAAGTGTCACGTTCTTTGCCCTTGGCAGTCCCACCACAAAAAGAACTTTGTTTCAATGCTTTGGTTGTGCATAGGCTCTCTAATAGCACCGCAGAAATCCTGGAAAGGCCCATCTCCACATCTATCTGTGACAGGTGAAACTGACTTTCCTCGGCCTCTGAAATCCACAGCTCTTTAACAGGCTCCCAGCACTTGTTTGCCACACCTAAACCAATCCATCCTTGTTGTGGTCCGACCCTTTTCTTGGGTACTGGATCTTGTGCCCCACCCCACCCCAAAGAAACAACACAAGGATAATCAATAATTACCCAAGATCTCAGAACAAGAAGTGCCAAACGTCACACAGCTCCTGCTAAAATCTTTATGCATCTCTTTTCTTGGCACAAATGTTTGCCATCCGCTTGCGACCTTGCGCTGAGTGACTGGCTGCCTTTGAGCCTTCATTTCCTCAGAGCCTTAGAGCTTCGCTGCGGAGGTCGGCGGCGCGCGCCTCAGCAGCTCCCCAAATGTCTGCTGCAGCCTGCGGTTGCCACGAGCTTCGAAGCGTGGGCGTGGTCGCTTTGCGCGCGCGGAGCGCGCGGAGCTCGAGGTACGCGGAGCGCCGAGGTAAGTGCGCCACCGAACCTGCGATGAAAGTGAGAATGATGGAATCTTGATCTGTGAGGGTGACTGTGGTGATGAGTTCTGCAACAAGGAACTATCAGGGCCGACTCTGTCTGTTTAATCAAAGTCTAGATGCCTCGACCAGAGACTGCAGTCATTACGTGCGATGACAAAGGGCCGGGATTCATTATTTATGGCAGCGGGTCCAAAAAAAAACACTCGACAAGCCATGGTTTCGGTTGACATCCCTTTCAGTGGTCCATCTGTTCATTTGACCCGTGGGGAAAAACCAGGGTCCCCCCATTTGGACCCACTTGCATATGCTGTTAGTTACTACTCCTTATCACTGACAGGCCGACGTGCATCGAGGTCGCTTGCACAAGCTGCTTGTTGCCACAGTTGCCACCCATCAAGTCCCCTGGATGGTTGCTCCTAGTTCATCCTGATGCCTCACGGACCTGGGCTTAGAGTTCGGTATGAAGATGACAGTAGTCTCATGTAGAATCATGTAAAGTTAATCAACACCTCCACCCGCCTCCACCACCTGGACCCCGAACAAAAAGATCTTTCAAGGATGTGAAAAACACCAATCTCTTCGCCTGCCCATGCCTTTCAGCCAGCGCTCATAGTCCTGAGCCTTTCGTCGAAAGTAGGTGAGCACCTGGCCCAGCCGACTCACTGGATACTCCAGTACGCGCCATCATCATTCCAAACAGAGGGTCCGATGTCGGGCCGAGGTTTGGGCCGATGCAAAAGCACCCAGTTGTCCCCCCCCCCAGTGACAGCCAGGCCCTTTTTGAGGTCTAATATGGCTCTAATCCACTGCATAGCTAGCATCTAGTAGCATCGTGTTGGGGCCCTGAAAAATAAAGAAACATCGCCGGATGGCGTGCGATGTCTTTGGATGTCAGTGTTGCTCGTAAAGAATGGACACTTTCTACACTGGATGGGCTGAGCCACAGTGAAGAAGGTGAAGGCAGCGTCCCCAAGACATGCAGTTTGAGAAAAATAGAGAAGCTTGTCTCAGGGTCATGGTCTGGCTGTTCTCGGCTGATCATCCGCAGCCACTGGTGGAATGGAGGAAAGGGAATTCACGCAAATCCATACAGTCAGGAAAAAAGAAACAATCTCATCCAACACTCCTTTAGTCTTCACTGCTGAATAAAAACACCACCCTCATTCATTCATTCATTCATTCATTCATGTCGGTACTACATACATCACATCACATCGACCGTCCAAAGCCTCACGTCCGCGTCATGTCGACCTCTTGATGCGGGAGGATCAAGAATCTCTTCTCCGCCATCGCCTGTAGCACGTCCTGGCGTGAACGACAGCGATCGCATTGGACGCGGGAGGTCTGGGGGATCTGGAGGATCTCCCGTTAGGTTCGGAGGACCAACAAGAACGGCGCGGAGGACCAACACATGTGTCGCTTTGGCTCCACGAGTAGAGATCTAATGCGGGAAAAGGCAAAAGGTTCACCGACCCGGTAGAAAAACAAAGGATGGATTTTGCCCATGTTTGCCGCATACATCAACCATAAACCTCTTTTCAGCCAAATGGCTTGTCAAGTTCGCAATGTCCATGCATTCGTGGTGTGTGAGCGATCGAGACCTATTATGGACCCTTCTGCTGCCAGGCATATGGTACAGAAAGCTCACTCTCCCACATCAAGCGACAAGTGACATATTCTCATAAAAAGATACCCTGAGTACAGTAACTTGGGTGTCTAGCTTTGGAGAGGCTCACAACATCTACTGTATTATCCTTTGGGAGTGTGACTGGCTCTTCCTTCCCCTTGGATCTCTCACCCCCATTTTTTGGCGCCGTTTTTCCGGAATCTGATGTGACTGGCTGTTGTTCCCACCCCGCCGCCGCTTTTGGTGCCTCAGCCACCTGTTCGGGCTTCAGCAGCCCATCACCACCTCCCCGCCGTTTGGCGAACGAGGCGATGTGAACCTTCAATGGAACCTTCACCTCAGAAGGCTCTCAGAAGGCCTCATCAGGTGTTGTGTCTCGTGTGCATCTGGTGTTGTGTGATTGGACTTGTCGGACTGTGGCAGTTGCAAAATGACTTCGAACAAGTGGGGTTGTAAAGGTCACTCTGGGGTAGGACGTATTAGAGTGCTTGAGCATGGACCAAAACGCCCCACAAATCTTCAAGAGGGAGAAAGCGTCATGCTTTTCTGCGTGCCGCAACAATGGTCTTACAAAATGATTGCACAACCCTAAGTCATAGGCAACTCTAAACTAGACTCTAGCAAAAATCCCCATCTCCCCGCATCTCGAAGACGCGCGTCCCTTGTTTTTTCGTGTTCCCCACCCCCGTCTCCCTCACACCTGCCACTCCTCCATCAGAGCCCTTCGGGAGCATCCCCGTCTCAACGGCCTGAGACGTCAAAATGGTGGTTTCGTCAAACCGGTGAGGCTTGTGTCCCACACGCCTGAGGGCAGAGGCAGGACACCTGGATCCCGTACTGCGCATAGCTGATCCGGAACCTCAGAGGGCCATCCATCCATCCACCCAGCCATCCATCCATCCACCCAGCCATCCAGCCATCGATCGAGCCATCAGTCCACCCGGTCCACCTCGACATCAATCAACTCAAGATCAACATGGACTCTCCATCCATCAGACCCTTTGCCCCTCTCAGACGCTTCTCTCTTCACCTCGGGAGACCGGGTCACCCGCTCGCTCCGTTGCGGCTCGGACCCAGGTCTGCGCTCAGGGGGCAGATCGGTCCGTGTCACCGTGGATCGTGCCACCCACAAGCAGTCTGAACACATGTCATGTGCGAAAAAACGACGCCGGTGGTTTTTTCTGTGGATTTGGGGGGGGCCATGGCCGTTTTTTGGTTTTCTCGTCCGAACGTCTTGCTGTTCAAGGATTCGGTTCACAGCGAGGTCTCGCAACCTCGGTCGTCCAGACAAAAGGGACTCCACCCCCAGACCCCCAGAGTTCCACGAGAACCCTTCGCTATACGCAAACTTCGGAATTCAACGCCAGAGGGCGAGGGGTTCAGTTGACGAGGTGGCGAGGTGGCGGTGTGCCTTGGATTCCAAGCCATTCAGCCAGGGCCACTGCGGCGTGCTTGGTGACGCTGTAGGGCAGTGCCCCCACCTGTCGAGGTCGAGGTCGTGCAGTGTGCAGGCCGAAGGCCGTTCGATCGGGCACCTGGCAGGAATCACTTGGAGGAGAGGGTGGATGACACAGAATGTGGTCTCCAAATAGATAGAAACGATGTCCGATGTTCAATACCTTTGACAAGAAAGGGATATTTACTTTTCTCTATCTACCTGGGGGTCGCGAGATATAACTTATATACGAGCAGGCACAAAGGGGTGCTATCCATGGAGGTTAGGGGTGCCCATGATCCATTCACTGGACGGAACTAAACACCACCCCTTTGTCACTGCTGGTATAATGCTGGTATAACTATTATTATCTACTAAGCTTTACTAAAATCCTCATCGACTCCTCAACTCCCAGACCGGGGGGGAAATCGCCCCAGTGGGGAAAAGCTCCTTTCGCTCCTTCCACCAGCGACGTGTGAGCTCGGAAAGCACCAGCTCGACAAGGTGCTCCAAACCCTCACAGATGGTAGTGGCAACTCGCCGGGTCGTTCATCACCGAAGAGAGGTTCCATGTCGAAAACCGAACCGGGGGTGGTTGAAAGTAGGGAAACCCCATGAGCCAAGGACTGCGTCTGGACCCTTTTGTAAAAGAAGATACCCTTCACCCAGTGGAACAACCCTTGAACCCACCCCCCATCGGCACCTTCCGCCTTCCGCCATGTCCTTCCAGGACTCTGCCGCCCACCGGCCGCCCCGGCCGCCACGCCTGTGTGAGGAGCCCGGCGGCGGAGGCGGTGATCACCAGGTGCTTTTCACCTCGCGAACGGCGCCGGTTTGGAGCACCGGCGCCGGTGAGGGACCGTTCGCGCAACCGTGAAGATGGGTGAGGACCATGACCGGGGGGGTGCTAAGGTTTAGTTCGGTCGTCCTTCCTTGGCCGCTCCACATGATGACCAT